TTCACGTCAAACTCGGCCTCTTTGAGGGTCTGGTCGGGCGTCACATCGAAATAGTGAGTGTCAGTCGAGCTGTTAAGTCGGGGCACAATCGGCGGTTTGATCGCCCGCCGGATCAGCTGATCCCAGTCGAAGCCGGAGAACCATTTGTGACTCTTCAGCTCCGAATAGCCGTTCTTCTGGACACCAATTCGTTCGCTGGGATTCTCTTTACACAATCGACGGATCAGATTCACGCAGTTCTTCGAGAAGATGGCCTCTTCGAAGCCGATGGCGTCGAAACCCCGAAGTATTATATTATATGTCTTCAGCGGATCCGGTGATGTGAACGGAGGCCTAAAAACAACACATGAGTATTGAATATGGTTATCAATGGTTGACACACAAAATACATGGTAATAATCAAATTAAACAATAGATTTGATTTACATTCCGGTCAACAGTTCGTACAGCAAAATGCCGATCGACCAGAAGTCGACGGCCTGGTCGTGACCCTTGTTCAATATGATCTCTGGGGCCACGTATTCCGGTGTACCGCAAAATGTCCACGTTTTTTCACCCGCGCATAATAACTATCGTGATACAAATATTGTGATTAAAGTAAATTTTATTTTGTAAATATATTGGCGATAAGACTAATCTAATACATACTTTACTGAAACCAAAATCTGTAATTTTTAAGTAACCAGTTTGATCCAACAAACAGTTTTCCGGTTTTAAATCTCGGTAAATAATTTGATGGGAGTGTAGATACTGGAGCGCCTCCACAACGCACCCGACGTAAAATCGGGCTGAAATCTCTTCAAACGCACCGCTAATTCATATACAAAAAGACAAAAATTAGCACAAAAAACATAATAACTCGTGGTAATCATATGTGTCTCCCGGAAGACTGACCGGTGCCTCAATAGTGTCCAGAGTTCGCCGCCGAGAGCGGCCTCCAGCAAGAAGTAGACCGACTGGTCGTCTTTGAACGTACGATAGAGTTTGACCACAAACTGATGCCTTGAGGCCACTCTCTGGACAATGCGCTCGTTGTTGATGTGCTGCTCCTGTCGTGTCGACCGGACAAACGCTTTGGCGCACGACTTGAGGGCAAACACTT